GTGGCCCGCCGTGGGCGAGAGCCTGGCTGCTCTCAGCTCCGCCCCGCCGTCCAACGGGCACTTCCGGAGCCGGGCGCCTGCAGACCGCGGCCACCTCCACCTCCGCCCCAGGCGGACGGTGCAGGGGCCTCCGGGACAGGCGACAGGGTCCGCAGCGCGGGACACGGGGGCGGGCCTAGGAGCGGGGCCTGGGCGGGGCTGGACGCGGCCTGCCGCGTTGCGCTCAGGCGCCGCGCTGGCCACCTGTGCCCGGGTCCTAGTGGCGGCCGCGATGACGCACGCCGGAGGGAAGATGGCGGCGCCCTGGTGGCGAGCCGCGCCGTGCGGGTGTTGGAGAGGGCGTGCCTTCAGCACCTCGGGTGAGGGGTTTGGGGGTGGACAGCTCTGTGGGGTGGGGGCGGGCTGTCGCGCGAGCTCTGGGGCGCCGGCCTTACGTCTTCTCTCTGCCCGCAGCCGTCCTCGGTCGCCGGACGCCCCCGCTGGGGCCAATGCCCAACCAGGACATCGACGTGAGCAACCTGGAGCGGCTGGAGAAGTACCGGAGCTTCGACCGCTACCGGCGCCAGGCAGAGCAGGAGGCGAAGGCCCCGCACTGGTGGCGGACCTACTGGGAGCATTTCGGGGAGAAGACAGGTGCGGGGCGACTGGAGCAGGGGCTGCAGCCACCATCCGGGGAACTCAAGGGGACCCGCCGGCGTTTTCCCCGGGTGCTGGACGAGCCTTGTCAGCGCCCCTGTGGATGCTGGCGAGGATGGGAGGGCCCGCCTGCAGACCTGTGTGCTCTATTGGCAGCTTCATCACGCCGGGATTGTTCACACCTTCTGCGCCTCATTCTTGGAAAATTCGCTCCCCCTACTGTTAGAGTTCCAGCTCCTAAAATATCTGCTCCTAAAATCTTGACCATCTGACTTTCTGTGCATGTCGTTCTGTGCGCCTAAAATACTCTAGGTAGCTCTGGCCACACTGCATTCTGACTCTGTGCGCTGCCTGTCCCCAGACTGTGAGCGCGCTGTTGACAGGGATCCTGCTTGTCTTGCCCTCCATTGGATCCTTGCACCTGAACAGTGCAAGGATGTACGTGTGCAATACTTTGCTGAATGAAATTAAAGCCCTGGGCAGGGTGACTCAAAAAAAGAACCCAACCTGGCCGATCGCGGTGGCTCACGCCTGTAATCCCACCAATTTGGGAGGCCGAGGCGGGCGGATCACCTGAGGTCGGGAGTTTGAGACCAACCTGACCAACATGGAGAAACCCTGTCGCTACTAAAAATACAAAATTAGCTCGGCGTGGTGGCGCATGCCTGTAATCCCAGCTACTCGGGAAGCCTCTGAGGCAGGAGAATAGCTTGAACCCAGGAGGCGGAGGTTGCGGTGAGCCGAGATCGCGCTATTGCACTCCAGTCTGGGCAACGAGGGCGAAACGCCGTCTCAAAAAAAAGACCCCAACCTTTAAGGAGCTTACAGTTTATGGAGTATATGTTGTTGTTGTTTTTAGCATTTATAGAGGCAGTTTTGTGGTGGTTAAAGGCACAAGCATGGAATCTGAATAACCCGATTTAAATCCCAGCTCAGCCTCTCGGGGACAATGTCCCTGAGCTTATTTCAACTGTAAAATAAAATGTGTCTTTGCTACAAAATTACCACGAGGATTAAAAGATACAATTCATTGGCATTTTTGCCTAATGCCATCTCTGATGTGGGCTCAGTATGTTTTCGTTATTAGTTTTCTTTTCTTTCTTTTTTTTTTTTTTTTTTTTTTTAAGGCGGAGGCTCACTCTGTTTCCCAGGCTGGAGTGCAGTGGTGCGATGGCTCACTGCAACCTCTGCCTCCTGAGTTCAAGAAATTTTCCTGCCTCAGCCTCCAAAGTAGCTGACACTACAGGCCTGCGCCACCACGCCCAGCTAATTTTTGTATTTTTAGTAGAGATGGGGTTTCACCGTGTTGCCCAAGCTGGTCTCAAACTCCTGAACTCAAGTGATCCCCCTGCCTCAGCCTCCCAAAGTGTTGGGATTACAGGCATGAGCCACCGCACCTGGCCGAGAAGCACTTCTGTAAGTCCTTCTAGCATCAGTCATTCACTCTAGCCAGGACAGCTGGGTGTTCATAGCCACCTGTGAACAGGCTTGGAGGTGATCTCAACTATAATTGAGGACCATTGACTTCAGTTTCCCATGACTTAGACAAAACTGTGACCTGGTTTGGGGATCAGAAAAACACAACCTCCAGCCTGGCCAATGTGGTGAAATCCTGTCTCTACTAAAAATACGAAAAAACATTTAGCCGGGCATGGTGGCAGGCGCCTGTAATCCCAGCTACTAAGGAGACTGAGACAGGAGAATTGCTTCAACTCAGGAGGCAGAGGTTGCAGTGAGCCGAGATCGCGCCACTGCACTCCAACCTGGGCGACAGAGGGAGATTCTGTCTCAAAAAAAAAAAACACAACCTCAAGTTGCATCTGATTTGCTTCCCAATTACATCCTGTTCAGGTCTGGGAAGTAGAACAGTATGTTTTAATTCTGTGAATCATGGGGAAAGCTTGAGCAGCAGAGCTTGAAGCACAGAATGAGAGAACTAGGTAGGGACAGACAGTTTAACCAAGAAGATGTGCCTGCCCCTCACTGGGTGCCGTGGCGGGCGCCTGTAATCCCAGCTACTCAGGAGGCTGAGGCAGGAGGATCACTTGAGGCCAGGAGTTTGAGACCAGCCTGAGCAACATAATGAGATCCCATCTCTCAAAGGTTTTTTAAATTAGCTACCATGGCTGGGTGCAGTGGCTCACACCTGTGATCCCAACACTGTAGGAGGCCGAGGCGGGCAGATCACTTGAGCTCAGGAGTTCCAGACCAGCTTGGGCAATGTGGCAAAACCCCGTCTCTACAAAAAATGCAAAAATTAGCCAGACAGGAAGGTGTACACTTGTAGCCCCAGCTACTCAGGACACTGAGTCGGGGAAGTTAAGGCTGCAGTGACCCATGACCCTGTTTTTCCAACACATCTTCCCTCTCCAGATCCCAAAGAGAAGATTGATATTGGGCTGCCTCCACCCAAAGTCTCCCGGACCCAACAGCTACTGGAACGGAAACAGGTCATCCAGAATCTTCGGGCCAACGTAGAAGAGGAGCAGGCTGCCCGCCTCCGCACAGGTAAGCCTTCTCAGGGGAGGCGCCATCCCAGAGTTGGGGTACAGGGTGTGTCCCTGCCCCCCTGTATCCCAACTGTCCTTATTCCTGTCCAGCCAGTGTCCCACTGGATGCCGTGCGGGCCGAGTGGGAGAGGACCTGTGGCCCCTACCATAAGCAGCGTCTGGCTGAATATTACGGCCTCTACCGAGACCTGTTCCATGGTGCCACCTTTGTGCCCCGAGTTCCCCTGCATGTAGCCTACGCTGTGGATGAGGACGACCTGATACCTGTGTACTGTGGCAATGAGGTGACTCCAACCGAGGTAACCGCTCACCTGTGCCCCTCCTCCCTGCCCTGTGCAAACACAGACACATCCCATCTCAGTGTCACAGACGCTCCTGGGTTTGGAATTTTGTTGTTCTCTGTTTCTTTGATTTCCTGGAAGACACCACCATGACAATTTCAAAGAAAATAGAACAAAATGAAGGAAAAAGAGGCTCCATCTTAGCACATTCCTGTGACCGGCCTGCTGTCTGTGGTGTGCCCTCCTGCCCAGGCCTTGGCACATTTCTTTTTTGTGGTTGTTGCCTGGACAGGCAACTCTGCAGGGCTCCTTCTCTACGCATCCCTTTGCCTGCCTGCCTGTGCCAGGGGCTGTCAAAGGCATTTGGGTCAGAGTGGGCACCCCTTTCTCCAGGGGTCCCTGCAACAGCTGGTCTGTCCCTGGTGGGGCTGACAGCTTCCTTCTCTCCCTGCCAGGCTGCCCAAGCACCAGAGGTGACCTATGAGGCCGAAGAGAGCTCCTTGTGGACGTTGCTACTCACTAGCTTGGGTGGGTGTCTGGGGTTCACCAAGCCCCCTGCCCCGCTCACCTCCCATGAGCCAGGGCCCTGGGGAGCTGGGGGAGGGGCCAGGTGGAGATCTCCACCGCTGGCTCCTAACAAGGGAGGGGGTGGCAGGGCCGTGGTCGGCAGGGCGGTGATCAGCAGGTGTGTTTTTGTGCAGATGGGCACCTGCTGGAGCCGGATGCTGAGTACCTCCACTGGCTGCTGTGAGTACGCGGGGTAGGGGGGTGCTGCCCAGGCGGGAGGAGGACCTGGGAGCCTGGACCGAGCTGCTCCTGAGTTTCATAGACTACCCATGGGACTTGAATTGGAGGTGACCCCCGCCTCTACCTCCTGAGGGTGTTAGGGGCCCTGGGATCCCCGTGTCTACTTGAAGACAGCTACAGGAGACAAAGTTTGCAGTGGCCTCGGTCAGTCCCCACAAGCCTCCTCATCTTTTCTTTTTTCTTTTTTTTTTTTTTTTTTGAAACAGGGTGTCACTCTGTCCCCCACGCTGGAGTACAGTGGTGCAATCATGGCTAATTGCAGCCTCTAACTCCTGGACTCAGGTGCTCCTCCCACCTCAGTCTCCTGAGTAGCTGGGACTACATGTGCAAGCCACTACACCCAGCTAATTTTTGTTTTTTTTATACAGACAGGGTTTCACCATGTTGCCCAGGCTGGTCTGAGCTCAAGTGATCTGCCCACCTCCGCCTCCCAAAGTGCTAGGATTACAAGCATGAGCCACCATGCCTGGCCCCTTCGTCTCTCTAAACTCATTTCTTCACCTGTAAAACTGGGATAATGGCACCACGTGCCTTACTCAACCTGACCTGTGGACTGTGATGGTCACATGAGAGAAGGAGCAGGACAGGCGTGGCAGCTGTGGCATCTCCCAAGTGCTCCTTGAACCACTGGGCACTCCTTCCCTGGGCCCAGATGGGGCTGCCTTCTATCTTCTTGGTAGCTTTTGGCTCTGAACACCAGGCCAGGGGGCAGAAGTCAGGCCAGTGACCCCAACTTTGAGCCTTCTGGTTAATTGGGGACAGTGACTGGGAGGCTGGTTTCTGTCATTTTTATTCAACTGCAGTTACCAACCTGTGCAGCAGGACCCTCTGGGGAGTTATGCCTGAGGCATTGCCCGTCCCTGTGCCAGGCTGGGCACACAATCCCTGACGAGGTCCTGGAGACTTCAGGACGCAGAGGGAAAAGCAGCCAAAAGTGGCATGGCTTTCTAGCCTCAGTGACTGTGGCTGGCCCCCTGGCTCCCAGGCCTGGAAGCAGGCTGCATGGCCTTGCTGTCAAGGCGACGCTCTCTGGAGCCCTGTCCCCCACTCGGAGCTCCTCCAGCCGGCTTCCCATGTTTGCAGTATGTCCAGGCATTCACAGAGCTTGGCTGCCTCCTCTGTCCTAGGAAAGAGAATGCTTAGAGTTGTCCTCTCAGGGAGTCATGTCAGCCTCTACGGTGTGTGTGGAGCTGGGGGGACACTCCTGCTGCCTCCCTGGAGTGGTTATTAATGGAGACTTTCCTCCTCCCAGAACCAACATCCCGGGTAACCGGGTGGCTGAAGGACAGGTGACGTGTCCCTACCTCCCCCCCTTCCCTGCCCGAGGCTCCGGCATCCACCGTCTTGCCTTCCTGCTCTTCAAGCAGGACCAGCCGATTGACTTCTCCGAGGACGCACGCCCCTCACCCTGGTAATCTACACCCCCAACACATAACCCAGCCTCAGGCCAGCTCCCCTGCAATGGTCACTCTTGCTCAGTTCTCTCCGACCTCAGCCTTGAGGCTGGCAGAAGAGCAGAACAGGGTGCTAGCAGCGTCCCGGGGCCTCTCAGGGTTGCCTGTGGGGTGGAGGGGTGAGGGCTCTGGTGCCCACTCTCCGCTCTCACATGCTCTCCATCTTACAGCTATCAGCTAGCCCAGCGGACCTTCCGCACTTTTGATTTCTACAAGAAACACCAAGAAGCCATGACTCCAGCCGGCCTGTCCTTCTTCCAGTGCCGCTGGGATGACTCCGTCACCCACATCTTCCACCAGCTTCTGGGTAAGGGCCATGGGGCTGGGGCACTGGGTGGGCCTGAGCTCCCAGGCCTCGCCTGCCCTGCCAGGGAGAAGCTCTGTTAGGGGAAGGCTGCGGCAGGCTCCTGGTGGGCAGGCCTCAGCCTGAGGGGGCGCAGGCCACAGGAGACCACCCCTGTGCCCCTCGCTCTTCTTGCAGACATGCGGGAGCCGGTGTTTGAGTTCGTACGGCCGCCCCCTTACCACCCCAAGCAGAAGCGGTTCCCCCACCGGCAGCCCCTGCGCTACCTGGACCGGTACAGGGACAGTCATGAGCCCACCTATGGCATCTACTAAGGAGCCAGAGTGTGCCCACTTCAGAGCATGGGATTGATCGGCAGCAGGAGTAAAGACACGGCTCCAGAGGCCCACGCTGTGGGGTCTGGGCCCTGCCTCAGGCAGCCCCTCTGTGGCCCCCTCCCATCAGGCCCAGGGTTTGGAGTGAAAGGGACTCTCAGGTGGTGGGGTGGGGGATGTGAATAAAGATGATTTCTTGCCAGGCTTGGTGGCTCATGCCTGTAATCCCAACACTGGGAGGCTGAGGAGGGAGGATCGCTTGAGCCCAGGAGTTCAAGACCAGCCTGGGCAACATAATGAAACCCTGCCTCTATTAAAAAAAAAAAAAAAAAAAAGATGATTTCTGCCATAGCTGGCCTGGTTCGGTGTTCCAGGGCCAGAGGACCCCGATGGAGCTGTACTCATGGGTGGGAAAGGGGCTGCCTCCCACCCCACCAGGTGCACCCTGACCTCCATCTTCTGAGGGTGTCGGGGACCCTGGGATCCAAAGCAAAAGCAGGCAGTGGGCCAAAAACAGGTGTGGCCCCGGGAAGGGAGACGGACATCCCAATCCAGCAGGTGCCTGAAACCCAGCTCCCCGAAAAAGTGGAGCAGAGCAGCTGGGCTCAGGAGGGAGCATTTATTGAGCACTGGCTGTGTGCCCCAGGGGGTCCCACCGGGCCCCTGGAGAGAGAGTGCCTGCCCCAGCACTGACCCTCTGCACAGACTCCCGCCCCCACCCCATGCTTGGGAGGAGAAGCCACATTAGGTAGGTAACAGCGTGACTCAAGAGACCTGCTCAGGGTCAGAAAGCCCATGGAGCCTGCGGCTGGACGGTTAGGTGTTTTGTTTCTCCCTTACCAAAAGCAGAAGTCTGGCTAACTAGTAGGTGGAGGGTAGATCCGTGCACTTTTTCCAGAAACTTCGCCGGTGGCCGCACACAGGACGCAGTGCTTGCTGCAGCAGTGAGAGCTCGTGCCGCCGCAACATCAGCCGAGCTTGGTTAGATAGAAAGGCCTTGCTCTCCTGGGGTTCCCCCTGGCCTGATACACACTGCCAGGGAGGTGGGCGCTAGGCCCCAGACCCGCCTTGCCTGCTCAGCTGCAGGGGAAATGCTGGAGTGCCTCTAAATACTGAGGCTGCAGATCAGCTCGGACCCCAGGCAAGAAACTCCCCAGCAGAGGGCAGCAGGGAGAGGGGATGCTGATTGCAGCTGAAAGCTGGTTTGTGTACTCATTCAAGGGCCATTTGAAAAATACCAGTTAACTGGTCCCTGTCTGTTGGTGACCAGACATTTCCATCTCGCTGTTTACTTTAAAATAACCAAAATTACGTGTAGCCCAGAGAAGGAAGACACCCCAGTCTGGCAAGTGCCCGAAACCCAGCTCCAGGAAAAAGTGCAGCAGTGCTCGGGTCTGCAGGGAGCCCGCCAGCCCACGTGCACTGACTTTCGTTTCGTCGCCGAGCCCCGGGGGATTGCGCGGGTGGTCTATGCCCTTAGGCCATTGACAGATGAGTCCAGAAGAGGTTCCGCGCGACCCGTGGTCAGAAGCCCGGAGGCGGGGCGGGATTTTCGAGCCTCTGGTCTCCAGGACCTGGGCTGAAGGCCCACGGGGGTGGGATGGACCCGCCAGGCTGGGACCCGAGAGAGCCGAACCCAGCTCTCAGCCGGGGTGGCGCGGTGCCTAGAGGGAGGGAGGGGCGCAATGCCGGAACGCGGAGCTTTCGAACGGCCCAGGCCGAGGCGGGCAGGGGTGGCCTAGGCCCCTGCGGAGGTCGCTGGTCGAAGGTGTCGGAGAAGGGCCCGGCTTCCGGGGCGGGGACCTGGCCTCGCCCCGCCCCGCGTTAGCCACGCCCGGGCGCCCTCAGTACGCGAGGCCGGCTGTCCCTTTGAGAATTCCGGGGCCCGCCTGGCTCCCACCGCCAGCGGGCCATGGCCGTGCAGCTACTGGAGGAGAAGCTGACCTGCGCCATCTGCCTGGGACTCTATCAGGACCCAGTGACGCTGCCCTGCGGCCACAACTTCTGCGGAGCCTGCATCCGGGACTGGTGGGATCGCTGCGGGAAGGCGTGCCCCGAGTGCCGGGAGCCCTTCCCCGACGGCGCCGAGCTGCGCCGCAACGTAGCCCTCAGTGGCGTGCTGGAGGTGGTGCACGCCGGGCCCGCCCGGGACCCCGGCCCCGACCCCGGCCCCGGCCCTGCCGCGCGCTGCCCCCGCCATGGGCGGCCAATGGAGCTCTTCTGCCGTACCGAGGGCCGCTGCGTATGCAGCGTGTGCACCGTGCACGAATGTCGCCTCCACGAGCGGGCGCTGCTGGACGCCGAGCGCCTCAAGCGCCAGGTGACGCGTCCGCCGGGAACAGGAGGGGGCCGGACCCGCCGCGGCCTGGCCACCGCAGGATGACTCCTGCGGGCCGCGCCCTGCTCTCTCCGAGCACCCGGTGGGGGAGGGGAGCCTCAACTGGAGGGGCTTCGCCCAACCTGGGAGTTGATTATAAAAATCGCTGGTCTGCCAGGCGCGGTGGCTCACGCCTGTAATCCCCGCAGTTTGGGAGCCGAGGCGGGTGGATCACGAGGTCAGGAGATCGAGACCATCCTGGCTAACACGGTGAAACCCCGTCTCTACTAAAAATACAAAAAATTAGCCGGGCGTGGTGGCGGGCGCCTGTAGTCCCAGCTACTCGGGAGGCTGAGGCAGGAGAATGGCGTGAACCCGGGAGGCGGAGCTTGCAGTGAGCCGAGATCCGGCCACTGCACTCCAGTCTGGGCGACAGAGCCAGACTCCATCTCAAAATGAAAAAAAAATATCTCGCATCTGTGCATCGGACTGGGATGTGCAGCCCGGCCAGTGCCGCAGGGTGGGTCTCAGGAGCTGCTGGATGCCTTCCGGATGAAAAAAGCCTGGGCATGAGGCAGCAGCTCCCTGCTCCGTGCCCAGGCGCTAGAGAACAGTCGTGTGTCTGCTTTAATTCGCTGTGCGGGGTGGGGGTGGAGGGGTGAGGGGGGTATGGGGGCTGTTGGTAAATGGATAGACGAGCTCCCTGCCCTTAAGAGACTTAGAATCCACTTAAGAAGTCAGTGTTCCAGTAAGGCCTGAATGTATTCTTGCAAAATGCAGTGAGGAAAGTACATAGCATGTGATAGAGGTGTCGGGGTGACCCTGCTAAACAGGCCAGGAGGAGGAAGGGGAGGCCGCCTTCAGGCTGGCATGTGAGGGCTGAGGAAGCACCAGCTGGGAGGAGAAAGACCTGGGGAAGTGCATTCTAGGCAGAGGAATCAGCCTGCTTCCCTCTCTGGGATGGGAAAGAACTGGGCACGCGGGGTGGCTAGTGGCAGATTTGTGCCACTGAGATCTGTAGGCCAGGCCCCGGGGTCAGCAGGCGCCAGATTGGGCAGGGTCCTGGGGGAGCCTGTCTCTTACTCTAGTGTCATGGGAGCCATTGTAGGCTTGGAAGCAGGGTGGCACATGATCAGATTTGGGCTTCGTGGAGACTGATCACCTGGCTGGGGGCTGAAGGGGGCAGGACGCAAGACCTGAATAGGGTAGGAGCCCAGGGCAGGAGTGCAGGGAGGCAAGGAACCATTTGGAGGGCAGGGAAAGGAGACCAGGATGGAGGAGATGAGAAACGCTGAGGGGGAGCAGTGCCTTGTGGAGGCGAAAGCAGGCCAGAGGGGACATGGGGGACAGCAGAGAGGGCAGCAAGGGAGACACCTGGGTATTCTGTCTTGAGCACGCAGGTGGCTGGGGTCTGTGTGCTGAGAGACATAGGTGGAGGGCAGAGTTTGGCCTTGGACGTATAGAGGTGACAGTCGCCAGTGGGACAAACCAGGGGACGGGTCTGTGGCACCTGGGACCCCGGCCCTGCCGCGCGCTGCCCCCGCCACGGGCAGCCGCTGGAGCTCTTCTGCTGGACCGAGAGCTGCTGCGTGTGCAGCGTGTGCACCATGCGCGAGTGTCACCTCCACAAGCAGGCGCTGCCGCCGGGAGTGGGAGGGGGCCAGACCCACCGCAGCCTGGCCACCACCGGGCACGGTGGCTCACACCTGTGATCCCAGCACTTTGGGAGCCGAGGCGGGCGGATCACGAGATCAGGAGATTGAGACCATCCTGGCTAACACAGTGAAACCCCGTCTCTACTAAAAATACAAAAAATTAGCTGGGCCTGGTGGCGGGCGCCTGTAGTCCCAGCTACTGGGGTGGGAGGCGGAGCTTGCAGTGAGCTCCAAAGCTCAGGAGTGGAGAGCTGGGAGTCATTAGTGCTAGGAGGGAGAGAGGGTTCCAAGCTGGAGCTCCCAGGAAGATGGGGAAGGTTGGGGGAGCGGCAGCCCTGTGTGGCACCTGGAGAGGGGTGCCAGGAAGAGAACAGGCAGGGTGCCCATGCCAATCGGAGGCTCAGTACGAGGACAGAAATGACCTTCAGCACGGCCCTTGACAAAACCCATTTCAGCAGTGAAGACAGGACGTGGAATCATCTGGGGACAGAGGAGGGCTGGGGCTAAGGCATGGGTGGAGGATGGCACAGGGACGCTGGATGGAACAAGAAGGGAAGGGGTGGCTAGGAGGCCTGATGGGCAGGGAGGGATGGCGGGGTGCACAGCTGGGAGTCAGCGAGGTGGGAGGACTGGGACAGAGGTGGCTGGAACAGGAGAGGGCAGGAAGGTGGTGGTCAGAGAAGGAAGAATGGGTGCCTAGAATGGAGATTTTAGAGCTGGTGACAGGGCCAGGGTGAGTTCACGGGAGCGCTGAGATGAGGTGAAGGAAAAGGGTTCCAGAGTGTTGCAGGACATTCCTTGTAGCTGCTGAAGCCGCCGAGTAGGATGAGACAAGATGTACTGCTCAACAGCGGGTGCAGAAGACTGAGCTAGGCATGGAAGTTTGAGTTGGAGGCCAGTAGAGGGCCATATGGAGGAAGGGAGCAGCAGGGGCAGCCAGTAGCACCAGGGGAGCCAGGATTTTGCAAGAGAGAGGGAAAGGGACATGGGGGTGCCTGTCCCTGGGGGAGGGCGGGTACCCTGGGAGAGCCTGCCTTCCTGCCTCCTGTGTTCCTGTGTTAAATGCTGGAGGCTGGGGGCCTGGCGGAGCTCTGGGCTTAGGAAGATCTGAGGACGTTGACCAAATTATCAACCTCTCTGAGCCATTTCCTCCTCTGTGATGTGGGGATAGTAACAGTCCCCATCTCAGTGCATTGTGGGAAAAGCGGAAACAAGATGGTGAAGCTTTTGACCAGATGCTGGGAATGGGGCCCCCGGGACCTGCATGGTTCGTCCCGCTCTCATGAGAGCGTGGTGTTTTGATTCCCAAGGGACTCAGGGAGCATAACCGAATAAGGGTCCCTTCCTCCCCCCTCAGGCTCAAAGCTAGGGCCAGGGACTGGCCGGATCCCCAGAAGAATCTAGTTTATCCATGCAAATAACTGCCCACTTCTCAGACAGCTTTGGTGCTTTGGGTGGTCCCTGCAATCAGCTTCTTAAGCCCCAGGGCCTCCTGGACCACTGACCCCTCTGCAGTGAGACAGGGACCAACAGCTTTAGTATTTGGGGTCATCCCTGCAAGGCCTCCTGAGCCAGCATTATCACTTTCATGTGTTGATGGGTAGGGGGTTAGGTCCAGAGAGGGCAGGTGCTTTGCCTCAGCTTGCTCAGCATGCAAGAGGTACAAATGGCAATGGAAGTTGGGTCCTGAGCCCAAGGCTTCTGCTCTGCTCAGGTACCACCCTGCTACAGGTTAGGACAGACTGTCCGGACCCGCCGGGGCACGGCCCCCACTCTCCCTAGGTTAGAGTGAGGCCTGTGCTCCGGAGGCTGGCCTGGGTGGCGTGGGGAGGGGCTGCCTGGTGTCTGCAGGCATGGTTGGTTGTCTGAGAAAGGGTGTCACAGCCAATCCTGGCCCTCTCTTGTTGCTTGTCCCATGGGCGGCCACCACAGGCCCAGCTGAGAGCCAGCCTGGAGGTTACCCAGCAGCAGGCCACCCAGGCCGAAGGCCAGCTACTAGAGCTGCAGAAGCAAAGAAGCCAGATCCAGGTATGAGGGCTGTGCCTGCCCGCCCACCATGGCCTCACACTGCATCCTGGGGGCGGTCACCAGCTGGTCCCTGGAACACCGGGCAGCAGGGAGTGTGGCTGAGCAGGGAGCTGGGCACAGGGGTCCTGGGGAGGTTCCCAGGACCCTGCCTCCCAACATCCCTGACCCTCAGCCCAGCGGGCAGCCCTGGCCCTAGCCTACCTTGGTATGGCACAGGGCCCTGGCCACCCTGAAGCCCCTGCTGTTCCCACCCAGAACTCAGCCTGCATCTTGGCCTCCTGGGTCTCCGGCAAGTTCAGCAGCCTGCTACAGGCCCTGGAAATGCAGCACACGGCAGCACTGAGGAGCATCGACGTGGCCAAGACGCGGGTGCTGGCACAGGTTCGAGATGAGGAGCAGCGGCTGCGGGGCCACTTGGAGGCTGTGGCTCGCCATGGCTGCAGGATCCAGGAGCTTCTGGAGCAGGTGGATGAGCAGACCTTCCTGCAGGTGCGAGGGCTCAGGCACAGGTGGGGGACTTGCTTCCCTGCCCCTTAGGCCCGGGCTTACTTGTTCTCCCTGGGGCTCAGGAATCACAGCTCCTCCAGCCCCCAGGGCCTCTTGGGCCACTGACCCCTCTGCAGTGGGATGAAGACCAACAGCTGGGCGACCTGAAGCAGTTGCTAAGCCGGCTGTGTGGCCTCCTCTTGGAAGAGGGGGGCCACCCCGGGGCACCAGCCAAGCCTGTGGACTTAGGCCCCATGGGTAAGACTGACCCCAGGCCCCCACTACTGCCCTGGGCCCAGCTGCCGCTCCCGCTGTGGGGCAGAGGGGGGTCAGGGCCCACACATCATGACCTCTCCAACCATTCTCCTAATGCTGCTTTGCCCCCTAGAGGCCCCAGGTCCCCTGGCACCGGTCCCAAGCACAGTTTGTCCACTGAGGAGGAAACTCTGGCAGAGTAAGGAGGCCATTCGTGTATGTGTGCAACT